GATAGATATAAATGGGCAGATTTAGGTACAATAGAGATGATAATATTGAGATAGATAGATAGATAGATAGTAACAGACTGATATAGGTACTATAGACTTGACCATATTGAGTTAGATACATACTGCGAAACTAAGCCTGATTGGTTAAAAATGCTAAAAAAAAAAAAAAAGGAAAAGCAAATGAACCACACTTTACAATATTCAATACCATGTTATCAAGTCCAATTGAAAATACATCCCAAGAAAATGCAGATAATGTCCTCATCTTAAGTGCGTGGGTGTCATTGCACTTCATACTCTGTGCAATCGAGTGAGTTAACCGTTTCGTAATAGGAAAATTAATCAAATACTGGCAAGTTAAAAAAATCGAAAATAAATAAAAAGTTAAGATTTTCATTTCTACATGAAATCGATGAACCGATCCACTAAAATGACGAATCATCGTTTGCTATTTTTACTCTTCCTTCCCCCACCCAAATAAATTCCCGTTACAAATTATAAATTGAACGATTATTTCATTCTATTACAGAACAGTAGATATTAAAATCACTTTCTGCTATGGCAGTTAAACGGTATTTCTGTCTATCATGTTTCTGCAATTCTTTCCCCTCCCCATCTCTTATTTTTGTATATATCTCTTTCTTTATATCTTTTCTCCGTTTCCAGGTTATTCCTTCCTTCCTTTCTTTCTAAATTCTTTCTGATATCAAACGCTAAATCGTAATCGCTAATTCCTATCTTGTTTAAATAATTCATATTTTTTTGTATCATAATTTCAGTGCCTTCCACATTTTTTCATGCTTTTCTTTCTATTTATTAACTTATTTTTTAACACAATCTATCTATCCTTTTTCTTTCTTTCAACTCTGTTCATGATCGATCTATATTCTGTTCATATCTATCTATCTATCTATCTATCTATCTATCTATCTATCTATCTACTTGAGTAAGTTCATGCACTATCTGTCTGTTTGTCTGTCTCCTTCACTCCTTCTCTCTCTCTCTCTCTCTCTCTCTCTCTTTCTCTATCTATATATAATTACCTAGCTAATTAGTTAGCTATCTATCTTTTTCTTTTATATTTCAGGTTACTTCTAACTCCTCTTTCTCTCCATATATATATATATATATATATATATATATATATATATATATATATATATATATATATATATATATATATATATATATATATATATATATCAGTTTGTCTATATACGTCTGTCGGTTTATGGTTTAGATACATATATACTGAACGTGGCGTGTATCTGATTTTATTGACAGATATGTTTACCTGCCATTATTATTTATGCTTTATTTTATGATAATATTATGAGAAGAACATTAACTAATTTTATTTCATAAAAAATCCCCTTAAATGCCACACATCCACGCCTACGCTACTCATACACACACATTCAATATGAATATTAATATATATATATATATATATATATATATATATATATATATGTATATATATATATATATATATATGTGTGTGTGTATATATTATGTGCATATATATCTATGTTAGTATATAATTAATGACACTATAGTCACACACAGACACACACATATATATATATATATATATATATATATATATATATATATATATATATATATATATATATATATATATATATTTATTACTTTCATTTATATGCATACATATATGTATGTAAATATATATATATATATATATATATATATATATATATATATATATATGCATATAAATGAAAGTAAATACTGATATATATATATATATATATATATATGTGTGTGTGTGTGTGTGTGTGTGTGTGTGTGTAAGTTTTGTGCTCAGAAAAGTCTAATATTTAATATATATGTATGTGCATGTATAAAATTTTGTGCAAAAATGTTTTTGTGCAAATAAGACTATATATATATATATGTGTGTGTGTATGTATGTATGTATGTATGTACATATATTGACATTTCTATAGTGACATTTTAAATGCCACACTTGTTCTGTTTTCTTGGTGCATATACATATATATGTGTGCGTGTGTATGTATATATGCATATGTTTGTGTGTGCAAATATATTTTTACACTATTTTTATTTATTTATCTCTATATATTAAATATCTATATATATATAAATATATATATATATATATATATATATATATATATATATATATATATATACAAATACATACACATAGGTATGTCTCTATCTATGCTAATATATTGTACGCCTATATATACACATATTTTTAATTTCCTTTTTTCAGATTTATTAATATATATACACATATATATATATGCAGATCAAGAAATATTCATATGAAAATATTAGAAGATATATATTTTACAAATTATAATTTTCATATATATATATATATATATATATACATATATATATTGCAAAAATGTATAGTTTAAATCGATTTAAATGAAAATAATAACAAATATATAAAAATGTGAGTATGTGCGTGTGCAAATTAATGTCTGATATATGTGTATGCGTGTGTGTTTGTAAATTAACGTTTTAGGCAGTGAAATGTGTAAATTTAATATGCTTTTACATTCATTAATACATATTTTTTTAAATATTAACATTTGTGTGTGTGTGTGTGATGAGAAAAGTATATACACATAGATAAGATAGATGCAAGAATGCCGAACCTTTTTATTTAAGACATGGGTGATTTCACGAATCTAATACAACTAAAAGTAAGTGTCCTTATTAAGCGCATTTATCAGTAAGAAATGGAATATTTTTTACCAGTTTATCGCTGAAATTGATTTGAATTCTCCCTGAAAGTAATTCAATTTATAAATTTGTTGAAATGCATTGCAAACATATTAGCCTATATTTACCTGCCAGCGTACGCGGCTAAACCTCTTTTATGTTTGCCTTTACGAATGCGCATGCGTTTGTGCAGAGGAATGCGTGCGTGTGGGCGAGTTGAGTGGACAGGCGTTGAATTATATCATTGCAATGATATTGTTTGTGTTAACTGGCTTATATGTTCAAATACACACCGTAGCAGTTTAACTCTTTCCATTGATTATTCATCAATCTATCGATCTTCACTTACATCTCCTCTTCTATACTTCTCTTTTTTTTTCTCTTTCTCTGTTTCTATCATTTTATCTCTCACTTTCTTTCTTTCTTTCTTTCTTTCTTTCTTTCTTTCTTTCTTTCTTTCTTTCTGTTTTCTGGCTCTATCTTCCTCTCTATCTTTCTCAATATTTCTTTATCTCTTTCTTTCTCTATCTCTATGATTTTCTTGCTATTTCTCCGACTATTACCTTGTGTATCTATGTTTCTCTTGCTTTTACTCTCTCTCTCTCTCTCTCTCTCTCTCTCTCTGCTTTGTTTCCTATTTCTTTTCTTTTTTCCTCTCTCTTTCTACTTATTGTCCTAGCTCTTTCCATCGATTTTTCATCTCTCTCTCTTCCCCCTCTCTCTCTCTCTTTCGTTCTCTTTCTCTCTTGCATTCTGTCTATTTCTCCTCCTCCTCCTCTCTTTCCTTCTTTTCTCTTTGTATCTCTTTTCCTCTTTCTTGCTCTCTCTCTTTTTCTACTTTTCTTTTCCTATCTATCTTTCTTTCACTCACACTTCTCTCTCTCTCTCTATATATATATATATATATATATATATATATATATATATATATATATATATATATATATATTCGCTTTTTCTCTGTCACTCTCTCTGTTTCTCTTTCATTTCGTTCTGTTCATTTCATCGCCCCTTATAAAAACGAATTAACTCTATCGCTTTTTGTCAATAGTCGAGTCTAGCTAAAAGGCTATGCCAATAGCAATAAATACATTCGTGTACTTGTAAAATTTATAATTTACTAAATAGGTATATCTTTCTGCCAAAGCCATGCTTGACGAGTGAGGATGTTCGCATATTTGCTTCTGTTGCTGGTGGCCAGTGATCGAACCTTGATAAGAAGTGGGAATTCAAACTTTGAATTTTGAAGTCAATGTACCTTCTTGATTTAGGAAAATGGCGCTAACACTATCTTCCTTACTCACTTAGCATTTAGTACATTTGTGTACGTGTAAAAGCCACTATATCTATTTGCTATAAAGATGCATCTCCCTCATTGTGTCTTATATTCGTTTATATTAGTTTTACCATTTGTTCGTATCAGTTTATATTTCAATCTTATTACGTTTCTCTTTATCAGTCTCATTCTCTTCATAGTTATCTATCTATCTATCTATCTATCTATCTATCTATCTATCTCTCTCTCTCTCTCTCTCTCTATATATATATATATATATATATATATATATATATATATATATATGTATATCTTTCCATCTATCTATGAAAGGTATGAAGCTATCTCTTCTCCCTTCAGCTACAGGTCGAATAACAGGACAGTCTGGGTTCTATAGCCTTGGTTAGTAACCACTCTAACTTTCGTGATGTAAACGAACACGTGTTGTCACTTGCGTAATACCAACGGATACTTTCGAAATGCTCGTTGTAGTAGAGACTTTGCAATCGCAGATACAACTATAGTAACACCGTTGAACAATACTGGTGTCAGACGCCTTCGAATAGCACTCGCATTAATAGTACTTGTTCAATAATACTCGTTGGTATAGTGATCCGAATAGAGAAAAAGTATAATGATCAGAGTAGATGATAGTTGTCCGTATAGTGATAGAGGAGTAAAAGCGATCGTTAGTCGTCAGCTACTTCCTACATAGATGCGTTTCCTTTACGGTCACGTGGTCTACTTAATTCAATAATGGGATCGCCTGTGTTTACTCCCTGGCGATCTATGTTCAAACTCAAGTGTCGGCAGCAACACTTTATTTCTATATAACACTACCCAAGAAATAAATGGCAGCCAACTGTGGGAAAATTTTCTGCCTAGTCATGCATCGAAAGAGACATGATCGCCCAAGCGTATTAACTGACTGATCTATCTATCTATCTATCTATCTATCTATCTATCTATCTATCTATCTATCTATCTAAATATGGTCATGTCTGTTGTAGCTATATCAGCCTGTTTCTATCTATCTATCTATCTATCTATTTATCTATCTATCTATCTCAATATGGTCATGTCTGTTGTAACTATATCAGCCTGTTTCTATCTATCTATCTATCTATATATATATATATATATATATATCAATATGGTCATGTCTGTTGTAGCTATATCAGCTTGTTTCTATCTATCTATCTAAATATGGTCATATGTGTTGTAGCTATATCAGTCTGTTTTTATCTATCTGTTCATCGGCGACTGAACCGATTCCTCCGCCCGCAGCATTAAAAATCAAGACCTGTCGAAGTGTGGGTGAATGCTCTCATGGAACCAACGGCCATGGAGATGTTAAAAATACGTCTATATCAAGCTAGACTGCAAAAAAAACTCTATTGCAACTTGACAGCATTCGATGATGTTGAAATGTTCTTCTTTCTTAGAGTGTGATTGATACAGTCGAACGTCTGTCTCCACTTTCTCGAAAGTCAAAATTGAGTCTTGCAATAACATGCAATGGTCTTACTGGACAACCAGTGGCAGCCGTCATCATCCATCTATCTACCTATAATGTAATTCACGACACATACATATATATATATATGATGATAGTCTGTGATTGTTTACATGGATGGTTTCCTAGCAACGATAAACACGTGCATATAAGACGCTAGAAGCGAAAATCACACCGCAGCTCATGACGTCACACATGACCACGCGAGAGTGAATTCGAGAAGTATTAAGTATGGGAAGCCGTTGGTATAAACCAGTGGCTTCTGTTACCAATTATAGACATTTAAGGATATTTGTAGAGATTCCATAGTTGATTTTGTTTAGGTTGGGTTTCAACTGTTTGATGTATATTGCTTCAAGGATTTTTAGTTTTTGTCTATTGTTTTCATGTTGAAGTATAATTGTGTCAGTCATCACTGTCTTGTCCGTATATTGCTTAATATGTTGTACAGTAATTGACATCTTTGATAATGGCTTATGTAAGCCGAAAGCTTAGATTGGATTAAAAATATGGATCAATATTGTGATTTTCTTTCTTCGTTTAATGATAATGTTATTAAGCTTATCAGACGTTATGAAAAGAATTTACATACAATAAAAAGACAACACTTGTCTATATTATTTAATGAAACATGGATGAATGAAAAAATGCAGCCGAAATACACACAATATATATATATATATATATATATATATATATTAATTTGTTCATATCTAACTTAATCTCTTCATATCTATCTCATTTTCTTCAGATCTATCTATCACATTTTCTTCATATCTGTCTATCAATATTTTCATATCTATCTATCTATCTATCTATCTATCTCATTTTCTTCATATCTCTCTCTTTCTATCTATCTTAATCTGTTCGTATCTATCTATCTATCTCGGTTCATATCTATCTATCCATCTCATTTTCTTCATATCTCTCTCTTTCTATCTATCTATCTATCTATCTATCTATCTATCTATCTATCTATCTATCTTAATCTGTTCATATCTATCTATCTATCTATATATCTGATTTTCTTCATATCTCTCTCTCTCTTTCTATCTATGTATCTATCTATCTATCTATCTATCTTAATCTGTTCATATCTATCTATCTATCTCAGTTCATATCTGACCATTAGTCCTTTCGTATATTTCTTTGTTTTTGTCTACAAATCTACGTTAGGCGTGCCATGGCGTAGTAGGAAATGCGAGAATCCCTTTCAAATCTCAAAAAAGATCCTGCTAACTTAATGTGCTTTGGGTGTAAATTCTGCTCCAGGCATTTTTCTGGTAATGCTTTGTTTGTTCATTACTTGAGTGGAGTTTTCATTTAGATATTTTAAAAGCTAATCGGAATGAGTGGAAATTTCTGGGTTATATAATGAGGAAGTGGGGCTTGGTGAATGTAACACTCAAAAGGACATACTGAATGCAAGGGCGGGACAGAGAGAATTAGCGAGTAAACTAATTAACGTGTGTATGTAAATAGATGGTTGAACAGGGACTAGGAAGGACAGTAACGGGATGGATATTGCTTAGACCTACAAAGGATAGGAAGTGGAGGAAAGCAATTGTCGGCCATTTGTAAATGGGAGAAAGAGTACAAACGTTGCTTAGAGTTACAAATGACAGGAAACTGTGGAGAGACATAATAAACATGCAAAAGATTTTAAGGGCTTGAAAAAGAAACACCTCGTGAGAATCGAACTCACTACATAAACGAGTTGCCTGGCGAGATTAATTTGCTAACCATTGGTATGAACAAGGTATACAAGTTGTTTATTAATCTTAGTTTAAGTGGCACAAGTTCACAGTGATGGAGCAAACTTTGAGAATAGAATTATATCTATATTACATATATATAGGGCCGTAACAATACCTTTCCTGCGGACGCGGTTCTGGGCGATCCTCTTCAGCTAGGCCCAATGTCGTGCCGGCTGCCTTCACCTCTGCGTCAAGTCTGTTTTGTCCGGCCCACTTTTCGCTTCCCTCGTCAAGGGCCTGTTTGGTGGCACTAGGAGCAGGCTTGCAAAATGTGTGGGCGATCCATCTTCATTTCCGTTTCTTGATGTCAATCGCGACTGGGGTTTGTCTGGTCCTGCCCCACAGTTGGTTGTTGGAGACGACTTCCGGCCACAGAATAGAATACACTAGATTAAAGAAATTGTTCTCGACAGTAACCTGTTAAGTATAGCTCTAATATGGATTTCTAGTTTGATTTATTAAGCTTAGCTTAGTATGGAACAAGGCCATAACAATGGTCGCTCGAAGAGCATTAAAGTCGTGACAAACTCGAAAATATCTGTGATCTGAGCCTGCTAACTTGATTTTAATAGTCTGACCTGGTACCAATAACGAATGAACATTTGCCATGGAAATAGCGATAGAGTAGCGATGGGCTTGCGTCGTTGCATCAGAGGAGGGAGGGGTTGTAGGAGAGAAAATAATTCATCCCCCACCATGCTGTGTAAAATATTTTGAACTCTGTCAAGGCTGCGAAGTGAGAATTAGGCATCACCAGCCCAGATATGTCAATAGTACTCCATTTTTGGTCGGACCTGACTTTTCAAGTGAACTATACGATCCATCGCTAAAGATCCAGGAACATATTCGACTCATTCCCCCACTTAAAAAAAAATTCCTTCACTACTTTTGCCATGCTTTATCTATCTATATATTTATATAGATAATGCATGGCAGATGTAGTGAAGTAGTTTTTGACCTGGTGAGTGAGCCAAATATTTTAGGATATGCAATTAGTAAATATGAAATAATTCAGACACCTCGGCGTAATGGATCTGTTATAAAAAAAATTAAGTATAAGAGAAAAAGAAATCGAAAAAGGACAACATCAATAGTGCACAATTAACAATAATAGAAGTTTCAAACTTGACATTTGTAAATGGAAACAGATATGATACAGTATAATACAGTTAGGACATTTCTACGGATTTCTGGAGCTATTTAACCTATAGTTAAATAGGTTGTGAATTCATTCTCCTAGACCAGTTGCCACTCAAAGCTATAAGACCTAGTCTGTCCTGCTATTTAACCCATAGCTAGGGTGAGAAAAGATGGATTCATAGCCTTCCCAAGGGTTTTTGCACTTGTGAATGTAAAAAACTCAACTAGAATCCAATTCCTCAATCCAAGCTGCTGTCCATTATTTGTCTCTAAAAAAATTTAGATTGTGTTTGAAAATATGCTGGATCTAAAGAAGGCACTATTGAGGTTAATTGGTTCATGTGTCAAAAATAGGAGAAAATTTGGGTAATTTTTGTAGATTACCATTCATTAAACTTTCCTCAAGCCACAACATTTGTTAGAATTGAAAAATATTGATCTTTTGTCATTTTAAAATTGAGGGTCTTGTTCATAATACAAACATGGTGTCAAATTGATCCCTGACTTCTTAATGAATTATCTGTGCTTTGTTCTTATTGACAAATATCAAGTTTGAAACCATGCTTGCATCATCAATAACTGTGTTCTATTACAAATTGGGAAAAAGGACAACATTAGTAGCACACAATTAACAATGACGTAAGTTTCAAACTTGACATTTGTAAATACAAAGTACAGATATGATACAGTGTAATGCAGTTAGGACATTTTTGTATCCAAATCCAGAACCATCTCACTCCTGTTAAGGAACTCCCTCCTGATTGACCGTCTCACTCCTGTTAAGGAACTCCCTCCTGATTGACCATCTCACTCCTGTTAAGGAACACCCTCCCTCCTCCTTTAAGACTCCTGTCTCACTCCTGTTAAGGAACTCCTCCTGATTGACCGTCTCACTCCTGTTAAGGAACTCCCTCCTGATTGACCGTCTCACTCCTGTTAAGAACTCCCTCCTGATTGACCGTCTCACTCCCGTTAAGGAACTCCTCCTGATTGACCGTCTCACTCCCGTTAAGGAACTCCCTCCTGATTGACCATCTCACTCCTGTTAAGGAAATCCCTCCTGATTGACCGTCTCACTCCTGTTAAGGATTGACCGTCCTCCTGATTGACCGTCTCACTCCTGTTAAGGAACTCCTCCTGATTGACCGTCTCACTCCTGTTAAGGAACTCCTCCTGATTGACCGTCTCCTCCTGTTAAGGAACTCCTTCCTGATTGACCGTCTCCTGTTAAAGAACTCCCTCCTGATTGACCGTCTCACTCCTGTTAAGAACTCCTCCTGATTGACAGTCTCACTCCTGTTAAGAACTCCCTCCTGATTGACCGTCTCACTCCTGTTAAGAAACTCCCTCCTGATTGACCGTCTCACTCCTGTTAAGGAACTCCCTCCTGATTGACCGTCTCACTCCTGTTAAGGAACTCCCTCCTGATTGACCGTCTCACTCCTGTTAAGGAACTCCCTCCTGATTGACCGTCTCACTCCTGTTAAGGAACTCCCTCCTGATTGACCGCCTCACTCCTGTTAAGGAACTCCCTCCTGATTGACCGTCTCCTCCTGTTAAGGAACTCCTCCTGATTGACCGTCCTCCTGTTAAAGGAACTCCTCCTGATTAACCGAACCTCCCTCCTGATTGACCGTCTCACTCCTGTTAAGGAACACCCTCCTGATTGACCATCTCACTCCTGTTAAGGAACTCCCTCCTGATTGACCATCTCACTCCTGTTAAGGAACTCCTCCCTGATTGACCGTCTCACTCCTGTTAAGGAACTCCTCCTGATTGACCGTCTCACTCCTGTTAAGGAACTCCCTCCTGATTGACCGTCTCCTCCTGTTAAGGAACTCCCTCCTGATTGACCGTCTCACTCCTGTTAAGGAACTCCCTCCTGATTGACCATCTCACTCCTGTTAAGGAACTCCCCCTGATTGACCGTCTCACTCCTGTTAAGGAACTCCCCTCCTGATTGACCGTCTCACTCCTGTTAAAGGAACTCCCTCCTGATTGACCGTCTCACTCCTGTTAAGGAATTGACCGTCTCCCTGTTAAGGAACTCCTCCTGATTGACCGTCTCACTCCTGTTAAGGAACCCTCCTCTGATTGACCGTCTCACTCCTGTTAAGGAACTCCCTCCTGATTGACCGTCTCACTCCTGTTAAGGAACTCCTCCTGATTGACCATCTCACTCCTGTTAAGGAACTCCCTCCTGATTGACCATCTCACTCCTGTTAAGGAACTCCCTCCTGATTGACCGTCTCACTCCTGTTAAGAACTCCTCCTGATTGACCGTCTCACTCCTGTTAAGGAACTCCCTCCCCTCCTGATTGACCGTCTCACTCCTGTTAAAAGAACTCCCTCCTGATTGACCGTCTCACTCCTGTTAAGGAACTCCCTCCTGATTGACCGTCTCACTCCTGTTAGGAACTCCTGTTAAGGGAACTCCTTCCTGATTGACCGTCTCACTCCTGTTAAGGAACTCCCTCCTGATTGACCGTCTCACTCCTGTTAAGGAACTCCCTCCTGATTGACCGTCTCACTCCTGTTAAGGAACCCCCCTGATTGACCGTCTCACTCCTGTTAAGGAACTCCCTCCTGATTGACCGTCTCACTCCTGTTAAGAACTCCCTCCTGATTGACCGTCTCACTCCTGTTAAGGAACTCCCTCCTGATTGACCGTCTCACTCCTGTTAAGGAACTCCTTCCTGATTGACCGTCTCACTCCTGTTAAGGAACTCCCTCCTGATTGACCATCTCACTCCTGTTAAGGAACTCCTTCCTGATTGACCGTCTCGCTCCTGTTAACCCCCCCCCCTTGATTGACAAACTCTCTATTAAGTCAGGGATCAATTTGACACTATATTTATATTATGAACAGGACGTCCTCCTAACTTGATAAAATAGCAATATTTTTCAATTCTAACAGATGTTGTGAGGAGAGCGAAGTCTAAAAAGATATACCTTTCCAAAACAGAAACTATGATTTGGAATTGGGATGAAAGCAGTGATGGCACCGACCCTGAACCCATCATAAAAAACTCAGGATGTGGAATTAGTAAATACTAAACACTTCAGATACATCAGCATATGGATTACTTGTAACAAATTAATTTTAAGAGAAAAAATGAACATAGAATAGGCTGTGCTACAGGTAGCTTCGCCAAAAACAAAAACATCACCTGAAAACTCGAGTAATGTTCTTAAATAACCTCGTCAGATCTAGACGTTCATGTGGATGGCTTACGTGGCACCAAACCCAGTCAGAAATACCTAAACTGTCAGCTGGATACACTGCCGCTTTCTCAGATCAGTGGTGAAAAAAGGCTTTGAGCGAGTAAAGCCTAACGGTCTTGTCAAAGGTCAACCTTCTTTTAATATTCTGGACTGGTGCTACAAAATCACAAACTGTAACAGATAACAAATAACATAAACCACATCATTTGAGGACTACCAACAGCAGTAACAGCTAAAATGACTAGCACATGTAACTAGAAGAGAAAATAACTGCATAATCAAAATGTAGACATTCCACACAATTTCAAATAAAAGGTTAGGAAAGAAATCCCCATCAATACTGGAAAGAGCGATAACAGCTACTGGACTTGAGAAACATGTTTTCCTAATGAAATTGTTTTAAGAGACAGATTTTATCAATTTCAAACGAAAGCAGTACTGGCTGCGTGGTCAATGAATGTCAAATGTTTCCTTATAGGGAAACGGCTAATATTACTATTACCGTTATAACAGTCCACTTGCAGTGTGGGGGGAACCTGATTTCCGGTAGATGTTCAAAACAATTAGCCTCGTTGAGAAAGCAACCGTTTATCACGACTAGGGAAAATTCAGGGTTTACTCGGTTACTAGCTTGGCTTTTGAGTTATTAAAATTAATATTGAGTGGTTAGAGTTTAGGTCAGAGAAGCATTGGGTAAAGTCATAAGTTGCAGAATGCTGACCAGCCAGGAGGATGAAATGTCTTGCCAATAAGCTATTCGTACCATAATTGTGAATGCGCTGGTCACACATTACACAAAATCACTCAATGGTGTCTTAATAACCAACTGAGTAACTCAAGAAGAGAATTCATTTCTGAAGACTTATGGACACATCACATTAAAACACCGATTTCCGTATGAACACCGAAGTTAAGCAACGTCGAGCCTGGTCACTAGGTATATGTCTCTGCTAAAATGTTCTATTCTTGGCATCTTTACAATTTTCTCCCTTTTTTACTCAAAGACTTTCACATCCTCTCTCTCTCTATCTCTCTCTATCTCTCTCTCTCTCTCACACACACTCTCTCTCTCTCTCTCTCTCTCTCTCTATCTCTATCTATCTATCTGTCTATCTAAGTCTGTTTATATCTATTTATGTATGTATTTATCTCGGTCTGATCATATCTATCTATCTATCTATCTATCTATCTATCTATCTATCTATTCAAGTTTGTTCATATCTATGTTTATATCCATCATTGAATATATCCCACATTGAAACGCCAGTTCTCATACGATCACCGAAGTTAAGCAACGTCGAGCCTGGTCACTACCTATATGTTGCTGCTAAAATTTTCTATTCTAGGCATCATTACAATTTTCTCTTTTTTCTACTAAACGACTTTCAAATCCTCTTTTTCTCTTTCTCTCTCTCTCTCTCTCTCTCTCTCTCACTCACTCACTCACTATCTATCTATCTATCTATCTATCTATCTATCTACCTATCCAAGTCTGTCCATATCTATCTATCTATCTATCTATCTGTTTATACCCATCATTGGATATATCTCACGTTGAAACGCCAGTTTTCGTACGATCACTGAAGTTAAGCAACGTTGACCCTGATCAGTACTTAAATGGGTGATCGCTTGGGAATACCAGATGATCTAAGCTTGGCTGTGTGGATGGTTTAATGGGTAATGGTTCGGAATTGTTAATCGGATGGCCGAGTTTCAATTCCATTTTGGTTCGTTATATTCACTTACGCGCAAATACCCTTGGGAAAGGTATGAATCAACCTCTTCTCCCCCTAGCTATGGGTTAATTAGTAAAACTTGTATCACTAAACCATTATCATCTTGCCTCACCAAAAAATATTCTTACAATCTAGAAATATTTTCTGGTTGTAAATAACCTGCAATGGGTTGATGGTCCGTAAAAAATGAATGAATCAATCAAAAAAAAGTACACCACCTGTTTTACAAGAAGAAGTATATGTTCAAACCGAAGAAGAAAAACGAAGATGTTTCTCTTTGAGGTGCAAATGTTATGGTTTCGATATGTTTAAATTAAAATGTAAATCAATATGATTAAAATGCTGATATATTTGGAGGGTAATTCCTAAATTTTATAAAATCAGAAATTTCTAAAAATTTCTTTGATAAATATATCTTTAAATATATCTTTTAAAACATCAAAGTGATCCTTAAAACAATGTACCGTACTTAGCAACTGATAAAACGACACCTGCACAATGCAAAAACAAAAACAAAAAAAAAACAGAGCTAGTCATAGAAGCTAAGTACGAATATGCGCACTATATGCAAAATGAAAAGCGGTCCACACGATGAATTTAAAAATATATCAAACATCAGGTCATTATCATATTTCAATACAAATTCTAGGCACAATAAGTAAACATCACTTATTAACAACAAAAAATACGTTTCCGAGTTTAAGACACAAAATATTCAAATATTTTCTTTTAACCGATGAATTGATAATGCCTTTCTAAGGTTTGGTTTTGGTTTGATTTGGTTTGGTTTGATTTACGGCCTCTCAAATTCAATGGGTTATTTAATGCCGACAAATTTTTATTGATGGTAATATTTTTTCAAAAATGTATTGCTGCTAATATTTTTTTTTCAAGAATGTATTGCTGGTAATATTTTTTTTTCAAAACTGTCTTGCTGGTAATATTTTTTCAAAACGGTATTGCTGGTAATATTTTTTCAGAAATGTATTGCTGGTAATATTTTTCAAAACTGTATTGCTGGTAATATTTTTTCAAAAATGTATTGCTGGTAATATTTTTTCAAAACTGTATTGCTGGTAATATTTTTTCAAAACTGTATTGCTGGTAATATTTTTTCAAAAATGTATTGCTGCTAATATTTTTTCAAAAATATATTGCTGGTAATAATTTTTCAAAACTGTATTGCTGGTAATATTTTTTCAAAAATGTATTGCTGGTAATATTTTTTCAAAAATGTATTGCTGGTAATATTTTTTCAAAAATGTATTGCTGGTAATATTTTTTCAAAAATGTATTGCTGGTAATATTTTTTCAAAACTGTATTGCTGGTAATATTTTTTCAAAACTGTCTTGCTGGTAATATTTTTTCAAAACTGTATTGCTGGTAATATTTTTTCAAAACTGTATTGCTGGTAATATTTTTTTCAAAACTGTATTGCTGCTAATAATTTTTCTTCAAAAATTTATTGCTGGAAATAATTTTTTACAAAAAAGTATTTCTGGTATCAAAACCTATTTTTACACTTTTATAATGTTTTGACACCAGTTTTGGGAGGTAATTATGTGCCCATAGCGGTGACCCTAATAGATGCTACCCCCTCCTCCCGGCTCAGGGTGGACCTGGGAACACCAACAATTAAAATGTGGTTCCACGTTCCTCAAAACCTCCTGATCAGGGGCATTGCAGTCGGACGTAGTTTATCGTCTTACCCAGGAACGCTCTGAGGTTTAGACATTAAGACTTTTAAAACAATATGGAACAATCACTTTTTCATATATGTATGAATTTTTGTGTTAATTTATTTACGAAATGTGTCATTTATAAGAAGAAATACTGAAATTATTTTAAGTCATTCCTTTCCATCACGTTTAAGCAAATTCGCGAAACATTTATAAAATATCATTTCTCTAAAACATAATTTTGTAAAATATGCTAAATTTAAAATTTCAATACAATATGAATAACTAGAAAATATAATTTTTATAAAATAAAATTTCTATCAAATAAAAATTTTAAAGAACGCAATTTATTTAAAATAGAAATATCTATAAAATAAAATTTCTACAAAATAATTTTTTCTATAAAATTAAGATACCTATAAAATATAAATATTTATAAAATATAGCATCTAAAAAGTAAAATTTCTATAAAATAAAATTTCAATAAAATATCATATCTAAAAATCCCTATGAAATATAATTTCTATAAAAATCTCCATAAAATATAATTTCTATGAAATAGAATTCTATAAATATTTCATATACTTTCAATAAACTCTCTCAAAACATTTTTTTTACAATAATAACCACTGTACAATATGAACATCTATAAAATTTGCTCTCTATAAAATAAAACTATTCTTTCTACAAAATATACTTCTATGACATATACTTTCTATAAAATAAAAATATAATCTCTACAAAATATACTTTCTATAAAATAAAAATATACTTTCTATAAGATAAAAATATACTTTCTACAAAATATACTTTCTATAAAATAAAAATATACTTTCTATAAAATAAAAATATACTTTCTACAAAATATACTTTCTATAAAATAAAAAGTATATCATTTCTGTAAAAGAAAAATTTGTATAAAATCTCGATAAAAAAAATTTGCAAATAAAATATAATTCTATAAAGATTCTATAAAACAATTTTTTTAGAAAATTTCATAAAATATTATCTATAATATATAATTTAAATAAAATTCCTATGATTAGCATTCCTATAAAATGTTCTCCAAATATTACAACAGTATTCCATTCTTGGCCTTCTCTGGCTCTTGTAAAGGAGAGGATAGCACGTGGAGTCAGGTACTTACTGGAGCGATACAGTGAGCCAACCGGCATCTTTTTACCTGCATTGTGTGCATGTTCCACTTGAGGTCGGGTGGGAGTTTGCCTGACTTTTCGGCAAACCTGATGAATATTTTTGGGCGTTCTTAAACTTAAATTTTTTGGTAAATTAATAACATTTTTTTCTCTTGTATATAAATACTTGTTATAAAATCTTTCAAAGAACAAAAGCGTAAACTAAGAATGTTTTTCCTTTTGTCTTTATTCATATATATATATATATATATATATATATATATATATATATATATATATATATATATATATATATATATATTCAGGGTGTAAAAGTTTCCTTGTGAGGCGTTTTGTCCTTTAGGACTTCATCGGAGCAAGTGTGTTATGTCGGTAGGACTACACGTGCGCACGAACCAGGAATGCTGCAAAATTTAAATTTAATTTTTTTTTTTTACTTTTTTATCTAGCCGATTCCATTAAGATATTTTTTCCATCACTTTTGTTAGGAGATATCCCACACTATAATAACAGAAGTTCTGATAGGAACGTTGAAATGTTGTAATAGCTAAGGCGCAAATTTACTGTAGATGACCTTGCGGTTAAGGTACCCTCTAGACATTTTCATCGGATGAATTGTTTCCTTGTTTGATCAGAGTCGCCTTTTTATGTCAAAATTGTGGCCAGTTTCGTTACGGTGGGCAACCAATCCATTTGATGTATTGTTTTGTAAAATGTCTCTTTTGTGTGCATATAATATTTTATTTAAATTCCTTGAGGTTTCACCTATACATTTTTGCCACAATTATTACAGGTGATCGAGTAAATTTCTCCATCAAGTTTTAGCTTATTGTTTTGTTTAATGTTGACTAAGTCTTTTGTTGTTTTAGATGTAGTAGTAACAAATTTTATGTTTCGTTTAGATAGACTTTTTCCAATTGCAGATGTGACAGAGTTGTTAAGACAATATATTTTTTGATACATTGGGTTTGTCAGTAGGGGTCGTTTTTCTATTTTGGAATATTTTATGAGCCTTTTGTTTCGCACTTTCTCATACATTTTCCCCCAATATTGTTCCTGATATATAAAAATATATATCTTTATCTCATATAAATCGATATACAAATAGATATATAGATAGATATACTTTGATTCATTTTGAAGAAAGAGAAAACAATCACGATTAAAATTTTCGTACATGGTTCAATACCGGCAGATGGAAATTTTTAATGTATAGTTGTAAGCCAGAGTCATTAAACAAGTATGTCGTTAAATGAGGATCTGCAGTATTTATTACGTTTCTGAATAATGGAATCGTAAGGAAGCACCATTGCGTTAATCGTTGTGCTGTAAAATAACTTCAGACAAGTTTGTAATTTATAAAAAGGAAGGATATGTTGAGAAAAAGGAATTAATAGTCAGAAATTTAACAATAAAAAATGTCATCGAATATTGATGGTATGCCATATACTGTAGTTAAGTGATAGGGAAAGAAGAGGAGGGTGATCTGACATTGCGAACTCTTTGATCAGCTAGGGATGATCACATGACGTTCACTATACGACCTAAGATGCACTGCGATAACCCTGTGTCCTCCAAAAGTCCCGGCCATTATTCACAATTGGACATATTCGTTGATTTCCTGTAAACATATTTAAAGGCAATTTTTCTATTCCAAATTTTACATCGACCAATTTTCTAAAAATTGAACGATATTTATTCGACATTTATTTTTCTTTCCTTATGTAATTTTTATTTTTCTCTTCCTACGCTTCTGAGTTGACATGTCTCCTTTCTCACCATTTCGCTTTCTTTTTCTCTCAGACCTTCAATGATTTTTGGTTTTATTTG